TCACACACATATATTAGCATATAGAGCAAAAGAGAAGGTCAAAGACAAGTTCAGAACCAATGTTTTTTGGAAAATTTCTAAACAGAAGTATGGGATAAATAAGACATAAGGAACTAAGACAAAACTTACCTTTACCATGGCTTCTTAAGAATGCTTCATCCAAACTTAGTTTGAACCAGAACTAGCAGCACATAAGGATTGCCCATTACCCTCGGTCAAAGAACAATCACGACCCGTCTCTGATATCCGCTGGTCAGCATGCTGAGCTGGTAAACTGCCTTCAGATCTGTTTGATTCGGGAGAATCATTTCTGCTACCCTCTGTAGTTTCCGAATGTTCCACCACATGTGGTATGACAGCAGTCCCAGTACTAACCTCATGCCGAGCTTCAGCACCATGGTCTGATGTTGAACTGTTGCGGGAGAAAAATCTCTCCTTCCAACCTCTTGTGCTCTTAGTTATAGACTCTTTATACCTTAATAATTGCAGAGGAAACAATCAAACAAACAAGACTAGGGTCCACACTGGTAAAGGAGATATCAAAGGATTCATACAGAACTATATATAATGTATCTTACTACCTCAGCGACATTGCAGCAAATCGAGATTTAATTGATTCTGAAAGAGATTGAAGATCTGACGGTCCAGCTCTCTCTTGATTATTCGGTGAAGACTGTGAAGGAGACCTTCTACAAGACGAGCAATTCAGAATAGGCAAAAAAAACACAACTCATTGAATACAAATAATTTACTACGCTGGGAACCAAATATAAAAATAAAATACAATGCAGTTGTAAAGCCAAACTTGAGAATCCTAATCACCTATTGTTTGAAGAAGTTCCAAGATGATTAATAACAGCACTTGATCCTGATCCAGATGCAGAAACCTGATCGGCTTGAACATGAGGCGTAGTAAATATCTGTGTAGCACCTTCTCCAACTGGAACAATTGGAGAACTCGAAGCAGAAACCGATGCGGGAGAAGCGGATTCACCACCAGTCATCAGAGTTGGAGAGGAAGCGGGGCCAGCAGGCGGTGAATTTGGGTGAGTGGAGAATACCAGAAACTGTGGACGACCTTGAGCTGAAGACCTCCCCCT